TGTGATTTTTTGAAAAACTGCCTTACACATTAATACTCTCTTAATATCCCAAGCAGGCCCTATGTAAACATGAAACAACAGAGGACACCACATTTGTGGTGTCATTGGTGGTTAAACATGAGTTTAACTTGTAACTGAATGAAAATAGATCCCATAAAAACAAACTGCACAACACTAGTCTTGATTTCAAAACTACCCATGATAGACAACCCTCCATAAACCCTTGGAAATTGATCCCACCAATTATGCCCATTGTTGGAAATCTGCAACATGTTTTTGCTCTGAGTTTGTCTGGCATCAGCTTCTGGCCATTAGCTCCTAGTAACGCATTGTTTGCTCAACAGAAGAGGACTTCTATACAGGGTACATCACAGCCTCCTGAAATAGGTACACAGACAGATTTTTTTTCCATAGATCTCCTGAATCCCACAGATCTTGGTCTCAGGACGGTGCAGTGTCCTGGTACAGAATAATTTGCCATGAGCCCTACACTGCACACATGCAACTCGCTGTACCTTTTGCATGCTAAATCCTTATCTTCATCCTGAGGGTAGCAGAGTGGCAAAAGGCTACACACACCACTGGCCAGCAGTCCTGTAAGTCTGGAGGTATCAGGAGCACTATACCCATTAACACCAGCTGAAGCACCACAGCTTGAAGCTCATCTTCTTGAGGTTGATCACTGTATATCTCCCTTTTAGAAAATAATCCTTTGTTCTTCTCTTAATTACTTCATTTACTTGATATATACCTACAGGTCTGTTTCAGTGACAGTGATGGAGGGGCCAAGCCCACATTCCTCTCACAAATCTTCCTTTTTTTTTTTTGCATATAAATATGTAGAGACAGCTTCTTTGTCTTAATAGCACTGCAAAAGATTATTTCAGTGGTCTGTAATACAGTGGTGGTGGGATACTTCACCACTTGGAAGAAGACAAAATCCCTTTCTTAAAGCATTTACAACCTGAGGCAACAACATATAAAAGCTTATGGTAGATGTAGTCATAGTAAGCACAAGCCTTTTACCTTCACTTTTGTTTTTGCCATGCTTCATTTTCTTGTTAAAGAAATGCATGACAGCCGTATGTGGTCTTCTGTCATTAACTGGCTATTTCAGTGCCCAAAGTTGGGTGGGGTAAACAACTTGATATGATCTAGCAAGCTATTTTAGACAATCATCCTGTTCAAACTGTCCCATTTCTGTCCCATTTCTGTAGTGCAGAATCTCAGAATCTCATAACAAGTCAATACAAGTGAAAACATGAGCTTACACCTCCAGGCTAAATCTGACTGTTACAAGGATTTCCCTGCAAAAAAACTCTCTTTCCCATTTCCGTCTGTTAACTCACACTTCTGCCTGGTGAAATGCCTCAGTGAGAATCAGAGTATCTCTGACAAATACCAGCCCCTGATGGAGTGGGCTGAAGCAGGGAAAGTCATCTGCAACCATCTTTCATTCAGATGTGTGTTGGCTTTTCCTTGTGATAGTGAGGGATTCTGGAACTTTAATTTGTGTCTTCTAATGCCAGAATAAAAGTTGCAAATCCCTGACCTGCTTATTTGAGTGGCTGGCAATTACATTAAAGGCCTTTTTTCTGCTAAGACATGAACTATAGCCAGGCAATACAAAAGCTCTTGTAATTTTCTGTGTGATCTGTACTACCAATTCTTCATTCAGAGAAAGCCTCTTTCACATAGCCAATGGACAGAAAAGCCCAAAATATCAGTGGAAAAGCTCACAGCAGGAACAAAGAATCTATAAGTACTAAAGGTTGTCCAGTGCCTTATATTTTGTTATCACAGAATATTCATGTCTGAAGAATCAGGAGCTGAAAACCATGTATATGCTTTTGTCATTCTTATACATGTCTGGTATGAGAATCTGTAGAAAATATATGGATAGAGTAACTGTAAAATATGTTGTCAGGCCTGAACCTGTCCATAAAGTTTAGCTTGCAAAAACAGGCTTTCATCTTTCTGCCTTGGCAAGTCTCTTTCCAGTGGCAGATATGACAGATAAAAAAGCTGTGTGATTCTGGACAGTATCAGCGTGAATGGCCAGTGAGAAAGGTCATTAGCCTGGCCCTATTCTAGCCTACTACTGCTTTAACAAAAAAGAAACAATTTTATTATTGGGTGTTATAACAAGCAAGTTGTAAAGCTGATTTTGAAATACGTTTATGGTCCTTTTTTTTTTAGAACAGGATGTGTTAAAAACAAGCAACCATGATAGATAGATGCAGTGAGGGTATGTGCCAAAGCTACAGTTAAATTATGTATCTGTACCACTTACATGCCTCAGTGCACACACAAAATTCCACAAGCTTTGGCCTGTCACTTGCAGGAGCTCACATACTGCTAATATCCAATGTTTAGCAAGAGATGTTTTGTTTTCCTAGTAATAGCAGTAAAAGGCTGCTGCATGACTATTATTATTAAAATATGATATCTGATGATGATTCTGTACATCTTACATTTCACAGCATATACAATTTCTGGCAAGGAAAACAATTTTCATATATAAGCAGCTAGAAAACATCTTGGAGAGGTATACTATTAAATTATTGTCTTGCAGAGAGATTTTGATGTAGCCTTCCTTCCACAGCCTGTTGTAAGCAGTTTTTATATAATTCTCAGAACAGCTTGTAGGAAACACATGAAGATTGCATCTCATGGATGGACTGAATGCCTTCTCCATTACAAATCTCTGTCAATGTATTCTATTCTTAACAGCACCTTCTTCCTTTTCATACGGTTTCCAAATCTCAAGGGCCTGTGATCTAGCTGTGTTAGATTTCATTAGCACCTTGAGGAAGAACCCATCCTGCGGAGAAAGACAAAGGCATCTAAACAGTGTTTCTGTCCTTTTTGTCCTCTTTCAGACTCTCCTCTCTTCTGTTTCTCTTGAGTGGTGGTGGAAGTCCATAACAATATGGTACATTCTTTAAATTCAAGATAAGACCTCGTGGACCTATGATTATGATGTTACCTGTTCAACTACAGGCTGAATGAGGTAGTTGTTAGGTAAGTCAGCAAATGGTTGCAACAGTCTACCTGTGGCAGAGGAAGTTCAGCAGAGGTAAGCACAAGGATGCTGCTCAAGACTTTGGAAGCTCCTGAGCCATGAAAAGCAAGAAGCAAAGGGAGCATTTAGTCAGATTTCTCAGTCCCCTCTATGATGTTCTTCCCATTAGTGAGCACAGTGGGATGTGCCAGTGGTCCAGCCTGGTGTGGCCACTTTTATGTTCTTGTATAGACAGAAGACAAAGCTCAAGGTTTTCCTTCTGTGGGCTGAGCTGAAAGGCCAGTTTCCACGGGCTCAGCAGTGTATTGGGGAATTGTCTCTGCTTAAGGAGTCTATTGTGATTCTCTTCTTGATGAGGGGTTGAGAGTGTTGGAAGTGAGGGGCAAGACATGTGTCTGACAAGCCTGGTAGGGTGAGGAGAAGGCAAGATGACGGAATGCGTGCTGCATCCATAAGGATGCTGCAGTATTAAAGAGGAATCTTTAACAATTAAAGTGAGAGTTGGGTATGTGAGGGAAGCTTTGTGCCAGGGAGGTGAACATGTCATCTATAATGAAACAAAGTCTGAGTGAGTTGTCATGAGTAAGATGTGAAACATCAAAAAAAGGTCAAGAAAAATCCATGGCATAACCTGAGGTGCAGAAAGGTAAAAAACCCCCTGAATTTCTAAACATTTCTGTGTACATGTTTCATTTTTTCATGTTCCACAGGCATCAACTGTATTCCAAAATAGAAAGACAAAGAAATTCCCAGCAGAACTGGGTATTTTTCCCAGAGCCTTATAAGGAATATTTTGCTTCTTCCTTACTAGTTCCACTCTGGCCCAGATATATAGTGACCCAGAACTGTAATCATCTTCTGGCCAGTAGGTACTCCTTATGAAGTACCCAGAAAATCTTTGTATGTGTCACAAGAAACACATTGAAATATGGCATTTATTCTCCTCTTCACTAAGTTGGGTGGTCTGAGAAATAAGGCAAAAATAAATGAAACAGAGGAAGTTAATCACTCTATCACCTCAAGACAAAACTGAGATGGACATGTAGCCCTTCAGGTCTATTTATGTAGGTTCTTCTACTGTGCTCACCAGCCCACCACCTGACACCAGTGTAGTAAGCAGTATGAGTAATACCTAGCATATGTTGTTTGCTCTCTCATCCTCTCCAGAGGAAGCAGCATATGCACCACTGTGTCTTGTTTGATAGGATTTTCTGCTCTCTTTTTAAATAGAAGTGCTGCTCTGCATTGATGCCACAAAAAGCAGCTCCAAAAGATTCAGACCCTGCGCTATGAGGGGAAGCTGGTGAGGTATGGGACAGTGCTTAATTCTTGCATGTGTTTGTTCCCCAGACTCTGAATAATGAGAAAGTTTTGCCTGACTTACACACAGTCTTTACTCTGACTACAGTGCTATCATGCAATGCTATCATAACAGGGCTTCTGAGGCCAGCATCTTTCGGCAATCGTTATCTTTGCCTTAAGACAGAAAAATTCGACCTCTTGAGCAAATTAGCAAGCTAGCTCTCAGAAATATTGCTAGAGAGCTGATCAAACACTTGGATGCACTTTCTGTGAGTTAGCTAGCAAGGCCCAGCCCCTTCTGCTGACGTCTTTCCTCTCTATCACACATCAGACTTTTCCCAGTGGAGCTGGAGAACAGGCTTCAATGAAAACTGCCTGTTTGCAGCTATATGGAGATTGCAGGCACCACAATCACTATTTCCTCTACCTGACCTGGAGCAGAAACTCCATCATCAGGATAGAACGGTAGCCTTGTTGCCTAGCAAAGGTGGGATGATTTATCTCTGTCTCTAGATTGGTCCCTTTTCTTTGCTGCACAAGAGAATTGTTTTCAGACTTCCAAGGAGAATGAAGCCAGGCTAGAAATCAGAGTGGATGTGTGAGAGCTGCTCTCCCAGGGAGGAGAAGGAGTCACAGGGTTTCTGTGCTTTTTGTTCCTGTGCAGCATAGGACAATGGTTTTGTCTGCCCCAGTTATAGCCCTGGGGGCTACCTTAGGGACTGCAACTAGCATCCTTGCCCTCTGCGGTCTCACCTGCTTCTGCAAATGCAAGCAACCTGGGAAAGGACTCTCAGAAAAGGACCAAGAGGAAGACACGGAAAATACTAAGCCCAGTGTGCTTCAGCCAGTCCAGCAAGTAAGACACAGTCTCTAATTTACTCTGTGATTTTTCTTTAAATGCAGAGGGTGGGAATGCAACTTCTCTGTTAGGCTACTCAGCATGTGATTTATGCTGCCTATTTATCTGCTTACTGTGTTCAGGATGTAACAACATGTTAATGGGAGTAGGAGTGAGGGAAAAACAGAGATGCACTGGGTGACCCACAGAATTACTGGAGCAGGAGACAGCTGCCACATTGCCAAAGAGAAAGCTGCTAATGGCAAAAATAGGGGAGGATGACTGGAAATGCTGCTTAGCTGTCAAGCTAGATCACAGGGGAAATCATTTCCTGAGGAGAGAAGACTGGTCTTTACCAGGTGGCATGCAGTGTTGTAAAGAGGAGATGACTCCTGCTGGGCTCTCCTATAGCAGCTATTTCTCTAACTCTATTCACAATATCTTATGTTTCCTGCAGGATAGTTCCCTGTCAACAGATGATTTCCTGTGAAAACCATCCCTCCTCCTCCCTCTGCCCCTCTAACTGAGGGGATTAATTATGTGTGAAGTTAAAACAAGGCACTGAAATGAAAATAAAATGCAAGTGAGAATCTAGAGTGTGATGACTGGACAATCTCATCACACTGTGAATTGCTTTTTCACTTACTATAAGAGCAATGTGGAGTACGGATAATGTCAGGCATCCCTGTGTGGTCTTTCTTTCTTTTTAGAATCCAAAACCCCTGATTTACTCCTCGGCTCAGTGCAAGAGAGAGCAAGGGAAATTGTAGGACCCTTCTAATATACTTATCAATGCGAAGCGCTCCTTCAGAGAGAAATGTTTGACAGATTTCCTTGCTTGACTGTGGTCTTTAGCATGAGCTACAGCACTGGTCAGTCTCTGAAAGTATTACCTGTTGGCTGTTGCTCTTGGTGTTTGTATGTGCCAATGTCCTTTTCACTTTCATCTAGCCATTCAACCAAATGTTATGCCATAGCAGCCAATTCCAAAGGCCATTGATCCATTGTATAACAGTCTTTCTTTGCCCTTTAGTTATCTGAGCTGCCTATTATTTTTGTATTCTTAAAGAGTGTAGCAGGAGCCCTAATTGAACTTCTCTGTAATGTTTGTAATTACATATTCAGTCTCTCTCTGGCTGCCACTCTTAGGCTTTTAATAGAAAAGACCCCTGGCATCCTCATGCTCCTGGTGCAGTTCATTCTGAGCAAAGATGACCAAATCTACTAACTGTATTGTAAGATCTGGTGTAGATACACATAATCGCATTACCAGAGCTTCTGGTTGATGAGGGGTGGAAGGATGGCCCCACTGACCATGGATGAACATCTGCACTGAGCTTAGGACTTCTCAAGAGACTGCTGCTAATTCTGAGTGTTCATCCATGAGCACAGTGAATACCCCCTAGTACCTGTTTGGATTTTCCTACGATGTATTTCACCCGTTTGATAGTTCTGTCATGTCTTTTCCAGGCTCCTTTCTTGTCTTTTCTAATCCATACTGGGGATTTGCCAACTGCTATATATAAAGGTGTACAATAATGCTGAGATTTTCCAAGTTTACTGTTAAAACAAATGAGAAATGTGTAACTTTGACAGTCATATCACTTTGCATAGCATTTTTTCTAGCTGTTGTCTGGAACAACACTACCCACAGATAACTTTACCATCAGTCTCTTTCTACAACACTTTTCGTTTTTGTAATCTTCTAGTTCAGAAACCTCCCAAATCTTTACTTTAACTCCATCCTTGGACTGGACATTTTTCTTTCATACAGCTTTTTGGGAAACATCTTGGGAAAGTGTTAATCCATCCTGGAGCTTGTCCTCCAGGGTGTCATCCTGCTTGCATGACTGAAATAAGCACTGTCACCGTGAAGTCCAATTAAGCCTCCAGTACCCAGCAGCTACTCACAATATTTCTACATTCATCAAGTTTTACCATAACTTAATCCAGTATTTGACCAACAGGGGATCAAAATATTCAACCTGCCCTCAGTGTATCACTATTACCTGAGTGATTGTATTCTTTTAGCATTGTAGACTTTCTAATTAGAAGTATTATTTGTAATGTTACTGGTTACGGGTTTTTTTAAAGAAATCTGGCCAAATTATAGCAGCCGAATGAACATTCTGTCACAGAAAGTGCAAAATGTTCTTAGTTTGCATATTCCGTATGTTTAACAATTCTTTCCAATTAAAATAGTTTTCTTGCCAGGAACATGCATTCTCCTATGTTGTCAATGATTCAGAATCAGTCTATATACCTTGAAGGAATGAATCTCAAATTGAGTTCTGAGCTTGTGAAGTTTTATTATCTGTGTCTATGTTTATAAATTGTCCTGTCGGGACTTTTTTCCGACTACATTAGCACACTGTATGTCCTAGTCAGTGCTTGACATACTTAATTATTGAAGCCTGTCAGGGACACTGATTCTGATAAACAGAGATGACAAAAGAAAGATGAAGCAAGACTGCATTTTATTCACTTGGCATGTCTCCCATGACAGTGATGCTTGTATTTGCTATAGACAGAGGTTCCCCATGGACATGCCCCACATACATGAGGAGGAAGAGTTCAAACACAAAGATACATCTAAAGAACAATTAAAAACTGCTGTAGATTTGCAAAGTCTCAGCAAAGCATACAGAATGAAGGTTCCTAAACACATCCAGGAATGGCAACAATCTGGTGCATTGTTTGAGTGACACTGGGCAGGGACCCAGAAGGGTCATTTGCAGCCTCCTTGCTACATTTGGTTTCTTTGCTTTCACACATTTTATGCAGAACTGTCTGAACTCTTCTGCTCATCTCTTTATTTAAGATACTGCTGCTGATTTGCAAAGGGAACTTCCATAGGGCACTGCTATGTAACTAGATTAGCAGACAGCACTTGGGAACAGAGCTGGTAGCAAAAATAATAAACAGAGGCAGATGCAGTTGGAAGAGGGGGTGGGCTAGTCCCACTGTGCTTGCATATGTCTCTCATCTCTGATTCTGCAGAGCAGACAGAGAAGAGGAATATTTAGACCCAGTGGAGCTCTTAGTTGCTGTGTGCTGATGGATTTCCTGACTAAATCTCTGGCTTTTAGCAAGTGGAAGAAAAGATTCTACTAGCAATACCTCACATTTGCATGGTGTTTTTCATCCCAAAGGATCCCAAAGTGCTTTATGTGCTAGCAGCACACAGCAATGCAGGCATACTGCTCTGGTGTGATGGTCAGTGACTGGTAGGACAGCAGCCTTATACAGCGGCTTCAGTAGAGAAAGAACAGCAGAGACTGACAACCATGGCAGGCACTGCACGTGTACAGAAGTAATGCATTTGCAGAACAAAAGCGACCTGGTTTTTCAAGCTGTTGTCTAGTGATTCCTAGCATATTTTGCTTGGTTGGTCTGCTTTAATTTTAGAGGAATGGAAAACTCCATTTAAGCTTTGGATGAGTAACTTTGAATTTCCTATGTATTTTAGGACTGATGAGGCTCGCATCACTAAAAGAGGGATCTCACTTACAGACCCACACCATATGACTTACATAATATCTAAACTCAGCTGAATGCTAGGTGAGGACTGCACACAGTGACGTCTTTCTTTCTCAACCCACTTCTCTTTCAGAGCCCTTAGTGGACTTCTGAAACACTGATGCACTAGCTGCCTTGAAAAGATGGAGTCGCTGACCTCCTTAGTTCTTTACCATTGCCAAGTGTATGTAACCATAGTGCTATGATCTCCATAAGCAGAGTATGACTAAAGAGCTAAAGTCCAAAACTGCTCTCTTTCTTCAGCTCTATTTCTTGAGGAATAGGTATGCTCCCTCAGGACATGTGAACTGGGACCACAAAGTCCCAACACAGATAAGTGCTTCAGGGCATCATCTACATTCTTTATTAATAGGAAACAATGAGACTAATGAAAAACTTTAATTACAGTTACGAACATTTTCTGGCTCACCCTCGATCTAAACTTAACACAGAATAGGTTGGCAGGCAGCAGGTTTGGAGACAATCCCACTGCACAATAATCAACCAAAATGGCAGGTTTACTTCTGCTTTTTGTCTCTCATGTTTTGGAAACATTAATAAAATCTGTTGCAAGGGTCAGGGTCATTTGCTAGTCAGCTTTTGTTCTTTCCCATTGATGAATCCAAATATAAATGAATCAGGAATGATTTCAGTTGTGAGCAAACAGGATTCTTTCTTGGGACATAAGGAAAAGAGGACTGTTATATTCCACTAAAATATTTTTCATTGTTTTGGGAGAACAGTAATGCCTTTGTCACAACCTTTGCTTGGGCTGCCTGGGCATTACACCATCTTTCAGGTTCTTCTGCTCATTTCATGTTCATGATTCAGCAGGGAATTGAAATGCTAAGAACAAACTTGGACATAAATCCAAATTGCAATGCTGGTACAATAAAGGGGAAATGTGTGTCTGAGGGTCAGGTGGAACTCTGGTACACAGACCCAAGAGATAGTCCAAGAGGCTGAGATGACCACTGAATCAACTACTCTTGGTGTGCCATTGCAGGGCTCTTTTGTTCAACCAGTTCTCCTTTGTCTTATTACACAGCGGTCGTACTTGCTCCAAGTGACTCTATGATCCATGCCTTTGCCTTTCTAATGCTTACTACATACTCATGTAAAATGGTCTGAAACCTGTGGGTGGCTATACCCTCTTGATCTTGGATTTGACTTCAGACATCAGGGTAGAAAACACCATACCTCATTCATAGCAAAATGAATTTCATGGTTGATTTCTGTGCTAAGATAAAACACAGTCTTATGAAAGGACGATTAACTGGTACAGGAACAGGGGAATAATCAAACAATAAGAACATATCTTTTTCTTGTTGCAACCAAACAACTGTAGAAGAGTGAATCTGAAAAGACATACATGAAGTAGAAGGGTATCAGCTTTGGCAAGAAAATATCTGCACATACAGGCAGTGGTTTCTACTACCTAAGAAACAATGATGATAAGAATGACCAGAGTCACTGTCTTTTCTCCCTTTGTCTCAGCTCATTTAACACTGAGAGAATCAGAAGAATTAGTCTAATAGTGCAAAGTAATAAACAAGGTTTTAATTTTCAGTTCAACCTTAAGAAAACTGCAGAGCCAGTCCAGCCTCGAGCACTCCTGAAGTTTCCCAACATTTATGGCCCCAAACCAGTAGTAACTTCACCTGAAATTGTTAACTACACGCAGTACTCCCTGAAGACAACAGAAGAACCAACTACCGGAAAACATGCTGGTTTGGATGAAAACAGGATGAAGATACAAGTCAACGAAGAGCTGTTTGTTCTCCCTCAAAACGGTAGGAGCATTTGGTCTTCAGACTAACAATTGCTTTTCTGGGTGCAGATATGTAATATTAGTGAGAATAATGTGATTGTAGCTAGAGAAATAAATGTGAAAATGAAGCTTTTTGCTCTCTTATGAGCATTGTGAGTTCTGTCTTCAATGCATGTGTTTAATAGAAAGTAGTCATGGAGCTCATCAGGACATTCAGATAACAAAGCTGTAGTTGTGTCTGGTTGTAAAATTTATTACCTAAACATCTTTTGTGTTGAAGAATCTGGCTCACTGGAAGCAGACATTTTGTAGAAAAACATGTATTTAGTGCAGTTTTACTGAAAGCAGTTGCCAGAGTATGGGTGAAATATCTGGCCAAAACTAGGCAGAGTATCTGCTCCAGGACAACTGCTAACTGACCAACAACTGTCCTTGTCAGGGACATCAGCAGCAGGGGTTCAAGCTTCTACTTTATTTTCTCTGCTACTTTTTTTCCCACTGCTTTGGTGAGATGGTCTTGGCTTGTTGTAATGTGCAGTGAAACCAAAGGCTGACACCTCAGACATTTTTGCCAAACAGAATTTTTGTTTTCCAGCCAGCCCAAAGGGTAACCAGCCAAAGCCTGGAACATAAGATTCCTGGAGCCTGAGAGAAAATACAATGTTAATTATATACATCTGGCAGCATGTCTGGGTTGCTTCCATACTGATTTTTACCTTCACAGCTGTCTTTTAACAGGATAATTGACTCTTACGGCTACCACATTAATAAAACCTTCCTGAAGATTTGCCAGAGACACAATGACATGTCATGATTTTTTTTAAGAGGATTCTTTTTAGTTTTTCAAAATTGCTTGAGATTATATTTTTGTCCTTCTGGGAGGACAATTGCTACATTCACTGTGAGTATGGAAAAGAAAGTACCATGGGAAGCAGCTGCATTGGAGGAAAAGACTGTCTGAGCCACATCATTAGGTGTCAGAGAGAAGATTATAGGGTGGAGATACTGAAGGATGATGGCTGGATGTAGGCTAAGGCTTTATATAAGCATGTTGGTGTAAGAGCCTCTCTGCACTGCTAATGGCACAAGCAAGTTTGCTTCCTGCTGTGCCTGATTTCATAGCTCAAGTGTTGCTGAAATAAAGTAAGAATTGCATTCTCTTTTTGGTGCTGCATTGAACTGGTCTGGACTGTGGCTGAGATTTTTAGGAGGAATTGTGCTGGTCCCACTATTGTTTTCTATCTGAATCAGAACCGACCTTGCAGATAACATGTTTTGATGATAAAAAGCTGTGGCTTCCCTTTTAGTCCTGCAACTTGCTTTATTTCAGTATGAAATATGTACTCATCTTCAAAATCACATGTGGAGAAACTGCCTCACAGCTTCTCAAGCTCATTATCTTCAACCTGGTAGAGCGCTATGGAAATAGATGTCTTCTGCATGACACAGACTGTATTGTTAAAATTAAAAAACGTTTAGAGAGGTCTGAACTAAGCAGACTTAAGTTCTCATTCCAAAGAACACAAGATTTAATTCACCAATGTGAGTTAAAAACAATTTAAAACAATATAACAAGTAATGAGTGCAGTTTAGACACCTAGGCACAAGGTGAAAGAGCAAGTGTGTGAACCATCTTAGAGCACAAGGTGGTAGAGAGCAGAAGGCTTGCCCAAGTGCTGTAGAAAGAGCTGAAAGTGTGAGAAAACAGAGAGAAAAGGAGATATGATGATGGAGGAAGAAGGAACATAAATGATAAGCCTGCATACAAGGTGTAGGTATAGTAAAACATTTAGAGAAGTTGAGTCAAGACAGGGTGGATTTGTTCTCCTTGGAAGGTGAAGACCTGCTTGCTAAAGGGGTTATTTCAGTTCCAGGTGTAGTAAAGGACGTGTGTGTCACAGAGCACTTGAACCCCGAGAGGGCAGCCAGCTGTAACCAGGCCCCTGAGCTGCGCTACTCCCTTGTGTATGATCAACAAAAAGCCGAGCTGCGTGTGGCCCTTCTGGAAGGTAAGGGGCAGAGATCTTCCACTGGTGATTCTCCATCTGGAGGGTACAAGACACCTGTTGATTTTATAGAGAGTTCCCCTTCTGCCTTAAAATCAACACGTGTCCCCAGGACCACTGGATGTTTTACTGTTTCTGGACTTGCAGAATAGAAATACCTGGCAATGTCACTGCTTGAAGTAAGCATGCAGGGCATGGCTTGGGAACAATTGTTTGCACAGCTCAAAAGCAGAAGTCGGGAACCAGGATGGGCTCTTCCAGACCCAGACATGGTACAAAGCAACCTTCTTTTTATTTTTTGCTTTGGGGGCAGGGGGAAGGAGGCTGCTATCTCCTTCCTCTCTATAACGTTCATTGACCCACTCCCTGCTGCCTCTTCCTCAAGTCAAGTCAAAGGCTGAGCTGGAGATACTAGACATCTTGTAGGCCACTGAGGAAGGTCCCTCTGGCTGTGCCTGGCCTGATGGCCAGGTTCTGTGTCATTCTCTGAAGTGGGAACTGACAACTATAACGGCTTCTCCTCTCGGCTGGAGCATCATCAGTTCCTCTGGGAAAGTAAAACAAGCTGACTGAATAATTCATGCACAGTGCAGATCTCTGTGGAAACCTAATCAAATCACACCATCTGAAGCGAGAATGGAAAGGGTGCTAAACGGCAGCCGCTGCTGTGGGTCGCCTGCCAGCAGCAAGCCCACAGCTTCCCTCCAGGGCGGACACCCATGCCTGTGGGCTGCCACCCTGGCTCTCCTGCACGCATACTCCTCCCTGGGTGCACCACTGACACCTGGGCAGGATCTGGGTCTGCTCCCCAGCTCCACTCCCCCAAGAAACCAGGAGACCCCTGTGAACCATGGGACCTGGAAGCTCAGGAGCAGATGTCCTTGGACTGGCTGCAGCAAGGACTTCAGTTTTGCCCACAAAGCCATGCTCTTTCATGACCCCTTGAGGGAAGGTGATCTCCTCTTGCTGTGGAGAAGGCAACGCAATTCTGCTGATGCAGCTGAAGAGGAGTGTGAAATGTCATTCTCACTCTAGGCTTTTCAATATAAAAAGGACATAAAATTAGGGATGAATGTCTCTTGACACAGATCTTTTGGCCTGTGGGATGGCTTCTGAAGGAGTCATTTACCAGAGGCTGGACAAGCAGAATGTAATAACCCTTAGACATATCCCACAGTGGCCTGCAGGGATGGATGTGTGCCAAGAGAGAGGTCTCTCCTATCTCTGATATCTGTGACTGACCATCCCGCATGGGGGTCATGGCTTAGTCTAGCCTGTGCAAGCAGGAACAGGGGTCAATGTCTATGCAGATGTTTTATTTTATTGCTCTCATGAAATAGGCAATTTAGCCACAGATATTTCAGGGCTGTCTTTTGTGAGAGGTCCTTACAATCAATCTTTCTTTTCCAGCTATGCATGGCAGAATGAGTGGGGACCAAGATGCTGGCTGCCATTGCTACATACTGGGCACACTGGTGAGCAAGTCCGGTATTGCTGAGGCCCAGACAGAGCTGAAGAAGAAGGTGCTTCACACCGTCTGGGAGGAGATCCTGCGATTCCCGTTAATAGAGGAGGAGATACCAGAGGGGACACTGACTCTCACCCTGAGAAACTGCGACAAGTTCTCCAGACACAGCATTGTGGGGGAACTCAAACTGAGCCTTGCTAACATGGAGGAGTCCTTTGGGATGTCCCAGTGGGAAAGGCTAAAGACCCCAGAGAAGGTACGGACTCAGTCCGTGTTGGTAGTCCAGAAACTCTAATGATTTATTGTTAGGACAAGAGAAGCCCTCTTCCAAGTTGGCTGCATGTCAGTGTGTGGCTTTATTTGTTTGGAGCCAGGTTTAGAGGGGTGATGTGTGACTGCAGAGGTCACTCAGCACTGCTCTGTGTTGGTCTGTAGCTAACCATTTCAAAAAGCAATCAAAGGCCCATCAAACCAACCCTTCCATCTACAGCTCCCGGCCGTTAATATGTGTCAAAACTCCCTCTTCTCCTCCCTCAATTACATGACAATCTGACACTGATATCTGTAATTCAAAGCCTATGTCTAGAAAAAGTTACGTGAATTTCTGTGAATTAGCAATGTGGGACTGTGGTGGCAACAGCTGAAATATCATAGAGTGCCTACAGAGCAGGACAGAGGAACTCGGAAGAGCTGGGTGCAGGTAGCACATACGGTGGCACCCCAGGGGGCCTTAAGCTAGGAGCGAAACACATTGTTGGGAATGAAATGTTTGACTGAGGACCCCTTATCCTTACTGGGATCAATCCAGCAGTGCTGTTCATTCTGGGAGATGTCAAAATATCACTGACTGCATTGTGTTGCTTTTCTAAAACATCAAAACCTCCCGTTTCTTCCTTATCCACACCTTCCCAGATGCACAGCCAGGGAAAACGGAGGGAAGGATTCCAACAGTACTTGAAGTAGGTACAGGGGATGCTTCATGTGCACTAACTTTTTGTGCATTTCCTCAGGAGCCTTTTCCCTGCCGTGAACTAGATTATTCTTCTAGCAGCAGCAATACTCTTAACAACATGGTAGCAGGGCGCTCCTATTATTGCTACTAGTACATCACCACAAACAGGTACCTATTGTACTCTTGTATGGTACAGGGTGATCAATGCAAAACAACACCAGCATTGTTGCTAAGCATGCTGAAATAAATTACTGCCTGTCACCATCAGGGGTGAGGGCTCTCCACTGAGTTGGCCACAGACACAGAGTACAAGGTTAACATTTCTGATTTCCAATAATGCAAATCTATCTGATCACCACTTGAATGCCAATAGGGCTGGCCACTCTATAAAATCTCTGGCAGAGAGAGAGGCAGCAGAAACAAATAGGTGGTCTGAATCAGTTTAATAAACCTCAAGGACAAGGCTAAATACTTGCCTAATAGCTGTAAATTGAAATGAGTTCCCAGTCTGCTGCTGTAAAAAGAGATGTCCAAAAGGTATTATTCCAATATAATGATTTAAATTCCTAAACTGAGATAGATGGATCCCCCAACCCCCCTAATCTACTGCAGTAGCTGCTTTGTAAGCAACACCAAAGGAACAGCCTGTTCACAGCAATGGTCAGTTGTCACTCAAGTACACCTGATGGACTCCTGACATACTGGGTACTCGGCCTTGGTCCAGCTTCACAACTATGCGTAGAAACAGGGCAGCATTCATTTCTTTTCCAGGCTGACAGCACAAGGTTAACACTAACAGTACTGCTGAACAGTGCCCCAGTTTGAGCTGAGGATGTGCAGTGAAAGCTGAATTTGCGTCATCTGGGACCTGAGAAAGCCAACCATTGCACAGATAGCTTATACACAGATCCTGAATCATTCATCAAGAACCAGAGCGGGAGGGAGTGAGGAAGAGCTGATCAAAAAAGAGAAGCTATTTTTGACAGCATCCATCCAGGAACAAAGTTACTGGGCTTTGTTTAAAGTCTGACATTTCCTTGAAAAGCCATGAGCTGCAGAAATTTCATTCTTACCTTCCCAGTAATTCTCCCACACACAAGGGAAGGAGCTCAGGGGGCAGCTTACAGCTAACCAGGTAATGTAATTAGTATTCAGGAATTCATGGACTGCTGTGAGCAATGCAAAGCGTAGATATTGCAGACTGATATCCTTATCTTGTCTTCCTTCCCTCCCAGTGCTTTGCTAATGACGGTGATGATAGTGGCTCCTTGCATAGCACCTTCCCTTTTGTGATTTCATGGTGCCCTGCACACGTAATTCATTGATGACCCTCTGATGCTTTTTATCCTTATTGCACAGAAAGGAAGACTGAAGCTCTGGTGGTTGTATGAATTTGCAAGGTTGCAGCACAAAGTGCAGCTTATGGATTTAGTAGGAAAAAGAAAAAAAACCCAAAACCCAGAAGGAGGGGGAAGGAAAAATACCTCTGACTTGGTCTCTTCACACAAAACTCCAGCAGATACCAACCACTGTAGGTTTTGGTTTCATGTGAATACAGGCTGGTCAAAAAGTTGACCAGAATATGAGGAGCTGGAAAGCCATAAGCACAAGATATGACGTGTGTGTACCATGTGTTTGTTTGTGTGTGCGTGCATGCGGGCATGTGTGTGTGCACGTTTACAGAGCCCTGCCACCCCCTATCCCCCACAATCTCCACTGTATCTACCTGTGCCTGGAGCTACAGGAACCAAATTCTAGCCAAGAGCTATAGAGTGGGATGGGGTGAGATGTAGAGGGGATAAATAAACAAAAGGAGCTTATGACTTGCCTAAACAGTGTTTTTGTATTGACATGGTATTTGTATTTGTCCCTCCATGTACAAACACCTATTGTTTTGTAGTGGACATACAACCATTTGAATCTGTCTCTGTTAGTTTTTATGTGTGGGTTTTTTTAAGATCCACTTAGATTTAGCACAGGATTTATGTAAGTGAAATGCACATGAGCCCTTCCTTGCTACCTGAGTGCATGAAAAAAAGATTTACTTCGGCTGATTTGGGATTGAATTTCAGGCTTCCTCGCTAATGGCCTCCCACCTGATTTGTGCACGACAAATAAGTCATTCAAACCAGACAGCGATGACAGCCATGTTTTCTGGAGAGTCAATCAGCTCATGTGGAGTATACAGGGGCCTGTCCTTGCCTGTTGCGAGTAACCGGGTGAAAACTTAATTTGAAATATTTATGGCTCACTTAGAAGCGAGAGTGCAGAGCACAGAAATGGCCTGGAGAAGGGCTTTCTGTCCTAAAGTGTGTAAATCATGCTAAGGAGTCCAAAGGGAGTCTATTGAATTGACATTGGCTTTCTGGGACTCTTCTGGGTCATTAACCTCACACTAAACCAGATTTCTGTCACAAGCTCCTACTCACTGAGAGAATAACTGCTCCCCTTTTGCCCCTCGCCGCAGGCTGGCAGCCCTGCAACGCTGGCGTGGGCTTTCTCTCCTTCCTCTCAGCTCCCGAGGAGGAAACGGCACCGTTCTCCCCTGGGAGAGTGATGGGTGGTGTGGTTATGTCCCTCTGCTTCCCCCTCCGGGGGTGCTTGTCCAGGGCAAGCGGGAAGGAAGGGGAGAAAGGTCAGGAGGCTAAGAGGCCAATCACTAATGGGAAGAAAGGAATAAGAAAAGAAAAGAAAAAAAGAAGTGTGGCCCCCTGAAGTGAATGCCTGATCGCGCAGAGCATTTCCCCTGGAGGAAATCCCGCAGGGGCAGCAGGGAGAGCTGCTCACAGGCCTGAGGGAAGACAGGTGGGGAAGGAAGAGTAAAGTACTGTGTGGAGCTCATGGAGGATTTCAGGTTGGCTGGGTTTTTCCCATACCAAGTAAGGGTGTCAGAGAAGGTTCAACTCCAGCTTCAGGGTCTGATTGTGTGGCACAAACCCGGGTATCGCCTAGTCTTTCCCAGGGAGCCCCACACTCCTACTAGGCAGTGTGGACCAGGGTCCACGTCTGGTCAGAGCCTCCTCACAAAAAGAGCAGCTGAAATGAAGAGTGAATTATGAAAAGCAGTAAAGGAAGTAGGGGACATAATTAAAGGGCAGCTAGATGATCTCTCGAAAAAGGAGTATCTGACTACTTGCATGTAGTTCAGCCCCAAATCCTCTTCTCCCGACTAAATATTCCACTAAAAGTAGATGTTAGGAAGCAGTTACTTTCCAGCAACAAAAGAAAGCAGTAACTCGCATGATCAGGGCCTTATGAGTGGAGGAGCCCTCTCAGACACCTTTGCCAGGTTTATTCTCATCCAGTGTAACTGGAAAGATCTGTACAAAGACAGGGACACAACTCGGTTGGTCCATGACCTTCCACCCATCACCTTGTACTATTTAGTTTTCCTAATGTTATGGCCAAGACTGTATAAAAAATTAACCCCTCCTGTGTCTCCATCTCTAGGAGCCATCTACAGGCCATGGGGAGGTTCTGCTCTCTATCAGCTACCTGCCAGCAGCTAACCGCCTGCTGGTTGTGATTATTAAGGCTAAAAATCTCCATTCCAAGCAGCTGAAAGATCTACTTGGCAATGGTGAGTAGAACAGCAAGAAAACAGAGACTGTTGTTTCTGCTATTATGTAAATCTAGAAAGAAAGTGGGAAGGGTGGTGTTTGGCAGAAAAAAATAGATGTTTGGCTTAGAAAGCCAAAGAGATTTGAATAATTTCTAAAAAGTGAAAACCAAGCCCACCAAGATCAATGTTTTTTATGTTCTCTCTCTCAGTCTGATGTCACCAGTTAAAATTCTCTTGCGTTCATTTTGTTGCATGCTTATTAATATGGTGTCTCCACTTCCTATACAGATGTTTCTGTCAAGGTGACACTGAGGCATCAGTCCTTGAAGCTGAAAAAGAAGCAGACCAAACGTGCAAAACACAAGATCAACCCTGTGTGGAATGAGATGATCATGTTTGAGGTGCCTCATGAGCTCCTGCGTGCCTCCAGCGTGGAGCTGGAAATGCTGAGCCAGGATAGTGCTGGGCAGAACCACGTGCTCGGCAAGTGCAGCCTGGGCTTGCACGTCACGGGCACAGAGAGGAACCACTGGGAAGAAATGCTGAGGAACCCCAGGAGACAGATAGCCATGTGGCACCAGCTCCACGTGTAGGCTCATCATGATTACTGCCAACCAGATTTCCACCAGGCCTCTGAGCCTGGGGGAATAAGCTGCATTTCACTTTCCACCTTCCCCTCCACAAAGTTGCTCAGCACAGCACTCTTCTTACACCACCTTCTCTGATTTTCCTGCCTCATCCAAGCCCAGGAAACTGTCTGGAAAATGTATTTAAAGGACAATCTCTCACCTAATCAAGTGGTTCTCTCAAACAAGGGATTTGGCTGCCTGGATGATTTGAATTAATTTTATTAGCCTGCCCAGTGTCATTTCTGTGAGGTCTCTGTTTCTGTAGAGGAGCAGAGGGGACCAGAGGTATCATGGAAACGTAAGCCACTCGTTGGCATCTGGCACTGTCACCCAAGTCCATTGATGAGTGCTGGCTCCATAATCAGAAACATGCAGCAGATGTTTTACCAGTCACTGTTTCACATAATACTTTACAAGACTGTGAGAAATGAAGATCACAAAACTAACTTTCACTGCAGACCCTAAGTATCAGTATGAAAGAGAAAGTGAAGCCAATGTGCAGTAGATGGATACCCAGAAAAAGATACAGAACTAAGGGAGAGAACAGAGGAAGAAGGGAGAGCAAGACAGTCAACAGTATCATCCTGTGCAGTCTTTGAAGCAAACACTGCCAAAGAAGACGACAAATACCTTCCTTCTCTTTTGTTTTCTGGAGTGTTTGATACCTCGTATTTAGGATTCATGAAAACTGCTGAAAATATGAATGTTTCAGGATCCTGTAGCAGAATATCTATATCTTCTATCTTTCTACAGTGTCACCCAGGAAGACCGTAAACATGGACAAAAAGTTATTGTTGATGTTACCTCCAAAAAATTGGACCAAACCTTTCTGCTTATTGCCATCTTTTCTGTTTGGGTTTTTCTGAGCTAGAAAGTTTCAAGTACTCTAATATTATATTTCAGGCAACATCTAAGACTAGACAAGAGAAGTGGGATCATTTCATACCTTAGCAATTGATTGATGGTTTTGGTTTGACAGTTAACTATCTCACTCAAGTCCTCATACCAGCATTACTCAAAGACAACCCTTAAGAACTGCCATGTATTTCATCACTTCCAGACAGAAGGAATTCACTGACCAGACAGACTCTCCAGGGCTTGTTTTCTTGTGTGCACTTTCAAGATTCGATGTGGCTTAAATGTTACTCTTTACTGTCCTTTTTTTGTGTCTAGATGGACTGAAAGTCTGGCATTGGCAGTGATGATGTTATGACCCCATAAGCACACTGCCTGTCCTACTGCTTTATTTCAAGTAGTAGACACATCTTTAAGGGGCTTGCATGGGGACAAGGCATTGAAAAATCTGAAAACAGAACCATATAGTTTGTAGCACTGAAAAACTCAGAGAACTTCATTTTTGCAGGGTCAGCTTGATCCTCTGTTTAATTCAAAATACTAAGCTAGGCTTTATCTAGGATCCATCCCATTTTGATGACTTAGTCAAACAAGTCTAGAAGACTGTCAAGTGAAGGCTGCCATCCTGTCAGCAAAGGGAAACCAGAACCAGTGTCTGAAAACTGGCTGAAGCACCAGGCACAGAGGGCTATGAAGAGAGGAATGAAGTTCAGATGGAAGCCAGTCACTAGTGGTGACTGGGGCTGGTAGTGGCACTGACACTGTTTAACATTTTCATAAATGGCCTGAACAATGGGCAGAGCGTGCCCTCAGCAAGTTTGCAGATGATACAAAACTGGGAGTAGTGGTTGATGCACCAGGCGGTTGTGCTGCTGTTCAGAGGGATGTGGAGAGGCTGGAGAAATGGGCTGACAGGAATGTCCTGAAGTTCAACAAGGAAAGAAAAGTGCAAAGTCCTGCACCTGACGAGGAACAACCCCATGCACCATTGCAGGGCCGGGTGCTGACCATCTGGAAAGCAGGTTTCCAGAAAAAGACCTGGGTGTCCTGGTGGACACCAAGTTGAACATGAGCCAGCAATGTGCTCTTGCAGCAAAGGCGGCCAACAGTGTCTTGGGCTGCGTTAGGAAAAGCATTACCAGCAGGTCAAAGGGGGTGATCCTTCCTCTCTACTCAGCACTGGTGAGGGCACATCTGGAGTGCTGTCTAATTCTGGACTCCCCAGTGCAAGAAAGATATGGACTTACTGGAGAGAGTCCAGCAAATGGCCATGAAAATGATTCAGGGACTGGAGCATCTCCTGTAGGAGAGGCTGAGAGACCTGGGACTGTTCAGTTTGGTCAACGGAAGGGTCAGAAGGGGAGTTTATCAAAATGTATAAATACCTGATCTGGGAGAGGAGAAAAGAAGATGGAGCCAGACTCTTCTCAGTGGTGTTTAGTGACAGGACAAGAGGCAAGGGCACAAACTGCAATACAGGAAATTCCATTTGAACATATGAAAAAAAAAATTAAAAAACCTTTTTTACTGTGAGGATGGTCACACGAGTTGCCAAGAGAGGTTGTTGAGAGTCTCCATCCTTGGAGCCACTCAAAATCTAATGGAATACAGTTTATCCCACTTTGAGCAGGGGTGAGTTTGGACAAGATCATCTCCAGAGGTCCTTTTCATCCTCAATGATGCTGTGATTAGGTGAAGAGACTGATAAGGTTGATGCACACTAAAAACTCTGTTATCTTTACACTGCTATTCCCTTTCTAGGTGGTGTAGCCAGGAGTTAGAGGATCATTCTGAAGAGAGCGTTAAAAACAGCTTTGACCAAACAAACAAACAAATAAACAGAAAAGCAAAGTATGCCAATGAATTTTATACCCTATGTTTTAATCTCTGATATCGCTCCACTGGCTAGAGGGGATTTAAACAAAAAGAAAATTGACTTCTTGTTTTGCTCTATGTGTTTTTGTTTATTAACAAAAACCTGTAGGATACCGTGAATAAAATAGACACAGGGTTTTAGTTGATAGTGAATTCTTAATAGTTGCTGTGTTCATGATTTGCCTGTAGTTATTCCTATAGATTTGGAATCATTATTTCCATTTCAGTGTAAAATTTATTGTGATGTTGGCCTATTCTACAGATAGGTTCCTGGCAGTGCTGTGATTCTTCCTTCTTTTTAGTATAATGATAAGAAGGATAACTTCATGGTATGATGCTATTTGGCTGGCACTGGAAAGCCTGAAGGGCCAAATATTTGCCTTGCTGCCAAGAGATTTCTCTAGTTCTGCCTCTTGCTTATTTTAATGAGCCTTTTATAACATCTTGGTGACTGATTGTAAACAGCATTATCTGCCCCTGCCCCTGGTGATTTTGGCACACCCTGTAATTAGGTAGCAATCCTATAGCATCTAAAGGAATAGCCCCTTGCAATCTGATTTTGCTGTGACAAAATAATGTCCTCTTTTACAGCGGAAAAATACACGTATACACACTACTTAACCACAAATATGTCTTAGGAGCAAAGTGGTGCCATCAGTATTCAAGTAGGGTGTTGTTCCCTCCTTTGCTGCAATGGGATTTAAATGGGGAAGAGAGGAAGGGTGAAAATGCATGCATCTTTCCTGGCTCCATCATTTTTGTTGTCTGGCATTTTAGCCTGGAAAGAATGTTTCTCGCATTCAGCGCAGCCTGAACAAAGGCTGCCAGGTGTTTATTTAACGAGGCGGCCATTTGCTGCGCCGGGGCTGAAAGTAAGCGCAGTTAAGGGTGCTGGCTGTCCTGAGCAGGAGGAATGCTGCGTACGTGTGGTACCGGAGGGGCAGGGACGCTCAGCCCGGGCCCTTTTGAACTCTGTTAATAGGAGCTGTTTGTCATCGCATTCCAGCTCCTGCCCAGGGCTCTGCCCTTATCCCTCTGAACCTCCTCTATCGCCTGTTTAGCAATGTTTGTATGTCCCTGAGCCCCAGCACCCCAAGGGCCGGAGGTGCTAAACTGGCCCAAGCAGACAAACCGTGGGGAGTTGTTGTGGTAGATGACAACGTCATGAATATAAACGCAAAGACTATTTGGAAATGCTCAGTGCCATCATATCAAGTGGCTTCAGCACCATGAGCTGTAAAAGTATCACTTAAGTGCAATATGGCCAGAGAACAGAGCCAGACAGCCCCATGGTTTTCAGCTCCTGAAGCTGTAAATACAGGAGCATCAGTGAGCACCACAAACATGGCTTAGATTAAAGTGTGCTGCTTATAAACTGCATCATAAGAGAAGAAGCAAAAAACCAATTATGGCAATTAATGTTCTTAAGCTATATGTGTGATCAAAAATAGCCATTAGATTCCCCAATGGCTATTCAGTGGTTGCACTGATTATTTTTCCTACTATAACCCATTAACATGAAGAAGCTGGAAGCAGACTGTAGGGAGGAAGGGGAAAAAAGGGGGGATGTGGGGGGGTGGAAAGGAGGGCAGTCTACCTGGTCAGAATGAACAATCCTTTTCATAAAGGTCCAGAGAGTTGCAAGTTTTAAGGACAGGGATTCACAGTCCCTCATCCAGTGACAAAAACCAAACAACATGACTACTGCAAAACAAAATGAGAAATGCAGCTCCCATATTGCATCCAACATTGCCTGGGAGAGATGGTCTCCTGCTGTGGCCTCTGTTCAGAGGAGGGGACTGAGAGAACAGAAGAAATAACTTGTGACTACATTAAGGAGATACCTGGGTAAAATGTAGATTGTAGCTGTATGTTGCTTTGCCTCGACCTGCTCTCATAGCTAGATCTTCCCAGAGAAATGATCTAGTTTGATTTTAGGCAATTTGTGCTATAGTAGAAGAGATTAAAAACCACAGATCATTGACAGTCACTAAAACATCGATGTTTTAGACCCATTACTACCCTCAGTCCCCTTCCCCAGTTGTAAGGGGGAGTGGTTGCAGCTGGTCTCATGTAAGGGTAACGCTTTTTCAGTGCACAGTTTTCCCCTCACTTCTTGTCCCAAATATCCTTGCATGGTGGTAGGAACTATGTTTGCTTTGCCAAGAGGTAATATATCAGAAATTAATGCCAAATTCCCTTCAACAGGGCTGGGAAAATTTTCAGGCTCAACTATTCTCCCAGGCACTACTCTGTTTTCAACACCTTGAACGAAAGTACTTTGCATTTTGCTAACACCTGTCATCAGTATTATCTGGCAGTAGTGTCCAAAGACACCCATTTTTTTTTTCCAGAATGGAGGAGGCTGTAATTTGGGCTCTAGAAATACAGCCCAAGGTTTGCCCAAATTT